GAAATCATTTTGTTTTGTTCATTTATAAACAGACTATAACTACAAACTAAACAAATTCTTTTCAAATTAATTCTACAGTTTTGCTTTCTCTGGCGATCCTGTGCATAAAACTGAAATTTAAACAGGTCGGCATTTTACCGGTAAACCGGAAAATCAATGCATAAATTAACTTGTCAGAAGTGTGAATTGCCTCCTGCCAGTACGGTAACGGCCTTGCCGGTACGACTAATGACCTTCGGGTACGGTAAAGAACCGGCCTGAACGGTGAAGAACCGGCCGGTACGGTAAAGCAGCGGCCGGTACGGTAAAGAAACGCATGCGGCAGGAGACTCACAGGAAACCGGCTTGGTGGTAATGATCAGTTCCCTAAGTTTCAAATAACAGTTTTACAAAAATTAAAAACAACAACATACTTACCCTATGTGTACTTTGTTGTTTCAGACTAATTTTCCAAGTTGCAATATTGTAATGCAAACCTCATTTAGTAATAAATAAACTGTGCTTTCTGTGGCTCGAGTTAACTTTAATTCCTTGATATCCAAAGGAAAAGGGGTTCACTGGTTTTGCTATGTTCTTCAAAACAGGTATGCTGATCGAGCCAAACAGATTGTCTGTAAAGCTATTGTTAATGAAGATCCAAATGCAAGGATTATCCGTGAATTAAAAGAAGAGGTTGCCAGATTAAAAGAAATCTTGATTTCAGAAGGTATAGAAATTAGTGATCAGGAAGCAAAGCAAAATATAATTAGTCGTACAAAAGAAGATACAATGGACAGATTGAAGGTAATTTCTACCGTGTCTTTTTAACATTTTTGTTTTTATTATATTTTCAATTCTTTCTATCTTAATTTAATATGTGTGTCATATTTGTTGCACTTTCTACATTTACTCAAGCACAACAAAAAAGGTGAATGATTTTATAATTAATCATTCTTTCCCATGCATGTTTTTCACAAGTTGAGTGCCTGTTTAAAATCATGTGAATCCTTATAAGAGTTTGTCAGATGTGTGTGAATTTCACAATAAACAAAAGCCAATAATAAATCTTAATATAATCAGATTAATCTCTCTTTTTGTGCAAATTTCATGTTCATAATTAAATCAATTTGCATAAGGGCTGAACCATGGTATAGGAGGAGATGACAGAAAAAATTCACAAAATATTTTTAACCTTCAGTTAGTTTTGTGCTAAATTGTTTTCTTTGACAAATTTGCTGTAATTTTTTATCCACCAAGATTCAGATGTGCAGAATTTTTTTATCCTTGTCCTTGCAGGATATTTTTCCGGGATTTATTCTTGTGCAGTTTCATTTCAAAATTCAGCCACTTTCCTCTTAGAGTTTCTAAAAATTCATCTCTAACTAGATAATTAATTTGTAATAGGAATCTGAGAAATTGATGGCAGAACTGAACAAAACATGGGAAGAAAAACTTAAGGAAACAGAAACAATAAGACTTCAACGAGAAGAGATGTTAGCAGAAATGGGAATAGCATTGAGAGAAGATGGTGGTACTTTGGGTGTGTTCTCCCCAAAGAAGGTAAATATGTGACTTGCCTCATAGATTAATTTCAGAAATAGAACACATGTTTACTGTGTATAAGTGTCTCGATCACTTGATGATGTGTGTTGTATAAAATTTGTATAAAGTGGGTACAAGTGTTATTTTAAAGTAAATTTGGTACTGAGAAATGTTGCGATTTTATCTAAAAAAAATTCTTGAATACAAAATGCATGAAATTAAAGAAGAATGTTTCTCAGGCAGCCAAATTTCACTGAAACACTATGCCTGACTGAAATTTTTTTATGGAAAATAAAGCTTAGAGGGAGTGTTTTGTCTTGTAAACTACTTTTATTTTCATCTGGAATTTATTTTTTGCTGAAGGAATGAATCAGTGAAAATAAAATCCAGTAAAAATACCTTTTTTTTCTTTATTCACTTTCACCACATCAAAAGTAAGTGAAAATAAACTATATACAGAAACAAAACAAAATGTCTTTACACTGAAAATTAATTAAAATGAATTAAGCTAAAAGAAAGTATTTAACAGTATACTATATAAAAATGTTCATTTGACCCTTTGAATTTCTACTTATGTCAACTTTCACAAAATACATTTTTTTCTTAATTTATATCCATTTGGTTCAAAATTAAGAAAATTCTTGAAATAGACATAGAAATTTGCAATATATCATACCAAATTTTGAAAAAAGTACAGTGTTCAAATTATTTTAAATTATTGTCACATTTATCTGCAGCATTCATCTTTAAGACAATTGTTACACATTTTTACTAAAAATTTAAATAATTTTTACAGACTCCACATTTGGTCAATTTGAACGAAGATCCTCTAATGTCGGAATGTTTACTGTACTACATCAAAGAAGGCATTACAAGAGTTGGTAAAAGTACAGCTGAAGTATTACAAGATATCCAATTGATTGGCACTCACATACAAGACCAACATTGTATGTTTGAGAATACTGATGGTCAGGTGTCTATAATACCATTTGATAGTTGCATGGTATATGTCAATGGAAAAGTAATAACAGATGCTTCTCCTTTGAAAACTGGTGAGAACATTTTAATTTTTTTCGTGCTTAAAAACTAATGCTATGTTTGTCTGTCTTTTATTTTGTTCTTTACTGGTTCAAATGTTAGGTGTGGAAACTACACAGTCTGCCTAAAAGAAAGCAGAGATTATCTTAGCCTCGTCTTGTATTCAACTCATAGTTGCATTCCCACTCTGCAAAAAACCTCTGACTAATCCCTGTAGGCATCAGAAGGGTTTTAGATTTCGTACAGTTAATGAGAAATCATATCCAATTGATTTGGTGAATGGACACTACGACTCAGGCTAGCTCGATCAGAATTCAAATATTTCATGATTTGTTGCTATACCAACTGATTTTATCATTTTTATTGGCAGTCACAGTAATCAGGGAGAGGTGTTCTACATATACTGTGTCTTAATGTAGCATACTCAATACAAAAAATTAGAATTTGTTTATGTCAGTTCTCTTATACTGTAGCATCTAAATAAATGATTACCAACGAATACTGATCTTCATGCTTTCTGTTTAAAAGAGATTTCACTCTGCAGAAATAGACCATTTTCCGTTCACTGCGAGAATCACGCTTTATGCGTGAAATCGAACGTAAAAACAGGACAAACAATGGTCATAGTGCCGTAGGGGTGTCAAACATTGCGTGGGATTCGACAAATGCGAAATATTTTGGGGGACATTTCCATGCTTAATAATGTGCTGTCCACATTTCATGATAGGCAATTTCGATTAAGTAAGGGTATTTGGAAGCAATATTCCTCTGTCGAAGATCGGCCGGTCGATGTGAGTTACGAAATAAAGAAATTCTAGTTCAAAATCAAATCGTTTGACTTTTGCAGCAGACGTTCGACGCGCGTCTTTCATACATCCCCGCGAGATCTCGCAATTGTACGGAAAATCCCCTATTCTGGACAGTATTACGTGAAAATGTACATACAGTAAATTTGTCAAATGTGCATAACAAGAACTGCTTCGAGAGGTGTAAACCACCATCACTGTTTTCATTTAGGTTCGCGTGTTATACTTGGTAAGAACCACGTATTCAGGTACACACATCCAGAACTAGCAAGAATAGAAAGGTGCAAATCACCACAGAACAGTGGAGGAGATACGCCTGTCAATGAACCAGTTGACTGGTTCTTTGCTCAGAAAGAATTGCTACAGAAGCAAGGTATCGATATCAAACAAGAAATGGAGAAAAGGTAGGTATTATGCTACTTCTCTGTCTATTCTGTCTTGTGTGTTTTATATATTCTGACTATTATTTTGTTCCAATCTTGCCCAGTGGTACTCTGGTTAGCTTGTTTTCCCCACTTCAGAAGGAGTATTGGTTTGATTCCTAGAGCCGACTACCGGTATTTACACTGCCCTGCATTTCCAACACACAGTGTTTTGTTTGGGAGACTGGTTCACATATGCATTTGCAATTAGCACCAAAAAAAAAAAACATCTGACACAAAAAAAATATTTTTGAATGAATGAATAAATAAAAATGAATGCTCAATATCTTGTTGATGCAGTTGATACATACAAAAAATTGGAAGCAGGACAACCAGTAAAGTTGTTTTTCTATCCACTAACAAACTATAAACCTGATTCTGTGTGACTTTTAGTAGAAGTATCATTAGTATGGACTGTTTTCTTTTGATGCAAGTTTCATATGTGTTGACCTTTTGCCATGATGCAATGCATTCTATATTAGAGTGACGTTTGGGAAAACCATTCTGTATCTCACGTGGGTTAGGGTTGTGAAATAGATTGCATTGAGATGGCTCTACGATGTTGAGAGAACGTAATTTTAAATTTAATTATTGTTTCCTCTCACTTCAACAGACTTCTAGCCATGGAGCAACAGTATAAAAAAGAAAAAGAAGAGGCTGATAAACTGCTGGAAGAGCAAAGACTTGTAAGTATGGGTTTCCTGCTTGTGAATGTTTCAATATGTCTGAAGTCATCAATTGTCTCATCCATCTATCCACATTGTCATCATCATTAACAACATCATCCATTACATCATGAACATTATTATCAATATCATCATTATCATCATCAACATTATCATCATTATCATTATCATCATCATCATCATCATCATCATCATCATCATCATCATCATCATCATCATCATCTATCATCCATTCATTTATCCATCCTCTGTCTCGTCATTTATCATCTTCATCTATTATCATCATTAAAAATCGTCTTCTATTCATGGATTCTCATCATTGTCTTCATTATTATCACTATTGTTATCTTCATGATTTATCAATGCATATCAAATGCTAAATGATATTTGCTTCAATAATACAGGATTATGAAAGCAAATTACAAGCACTTCAGAAGCAAGTAGAAATGCACAGTTTACTATCGGGTAATAACACACCAGAAGGTCTTAGTAGTGATGAGGACAATCTCGAAAGTAAGTTGTATACCCTGGTGTTTCTTACAATCACTTTCTGGTATATTTACAACTTTTCATGTCTTGTATTATCTTTATTATTTGTTCTAAGTTGTTATATGGTTGTTATATCAGAGAGTTTTGGAAGGTAACAAAAAATATTTTTGAAGAACTTTATGGTTGCCATTTTTGTTTTCAAGATGTCTCCTATTTTTCAATCATTCAAAATGGCCACTATTTTAATTTCCCAGATGACAACCATCTTTTAAGGTCACAGTTTAATCACACATCTTTAAATAGATATAATCAAATATAACTGAAATTCTGGGTTTCTTTCTGGAAAAATCATAGTCATAAAAAACCCAAAGATTAAATTTATTTTTTTAAAATAGCTGACTTGTATGACTGGCTATACATACATTGTAACAAGTGCCTTTTTAGGAATCTGCTTTCATGGAATATCAAAAATGACGGCCTTCTGTAATGTAGTTCATAGTTGTATCGCCTTAAGCAGTACGTGTAAATAATCCCAAAGATAAGAGTGTAGATAAAAGTCCCTTAATCATGAATCACCAAAGTTCATTTATAAGTGGGATGTGCAATATAATTTCATACCTGTTACCCCTACAAAAATGGAATACTCCAGGGTAATATTGAGTATGATATCTCATCTACCAATTGAGATATTTAGAAATTCTATTTTATATATTTATTAAAAAATGAAAGTAGTACATCATTATTCAAATCAGTTATGTACAATTTTTTTTGTAAATATAGATTTTTGAAACAGTATTTAAATTTGGAATGTCTATCATGCAATCTTGTTATGTGAACAGCATGCTTTTCTGATCAGTGTGCGGCTTTTTTTTTGTCGCGTTGAAATAAATGCAATATTTTGATTCACCTAATAATTTATACATGAGGGTCCCGAGAAATCTCTTCCATGCGAGATATATCTAAATCTTCCGTTAAAAGTGCCAAATTTGGAAATAATATTTTGTTAGTTTCCCTTACAAATGAGTTAGTGAATAGTGAGTAATTAAACAGGGTATTGATAGTTTGTAGCTAGGTGGTATTATTTTTACAGTATTGAATGCAGTGTCTTATGTTAACTTATAGAGAGGAATGAAATCAGTATTAACCATCCAAAAAGCATTTTAATATTTTTAATATTGACCGTTAAGCAAGAACTGAGCTGTAGGTCGATCTCTGGGCCATTTTACCGCCATTTTACCGCTATTAGGGAAATCAGTAAAAATTCATTCATGGTAGGAAACTCATCAAGGTTAATTGTACCATAGACAGTATACAGTTGTGAGTCCCACCCAATATGAATGTTTACATAGCAACTCAATTTAGAGGGATGCTAAGTGTTGAAGTGCATATACAAACCAGGTATTAAATACAAGGTTTTGGCAATTTGGTTTGTTCCCTATTTAACTGGTCGCTGCTTAAAAGTCTTTAAAAAAATCGTTAGTAAAGATCTTTCTTCCAATTAAAATACTGACATTTAATATCTCTTTTATATTTGAATCTTTAATTTTACTGATAAGGCACTTCCAACAGAGTAATATTTATTTAAATGTTTGCACCTGGGAAAAAACTGCACAGGGAAGCTGCAATAAATTATGTATTAATGAAATATCAGTTTTAAGAAAACCAGTGTCTGTGTGGGTCACCCCCCTGTTTATTTTGTAGATTTATGAGGGTTCTATGCTTGGATGACTTGCAGGATACTTGTACCTATCGCAAAGTTTATTCCTGAGTTATTCCTGAATCTTTCTGATTTAAAGTCATACAATTACCTTAGATAAAATCAAAGGTGGATAAAAATAAATGTATGTAGCTTTGGTGATGTCCAATGAATGTATCATTGATTTATGTGAGCATGTTTCAAGCCATGATATTGCATACAATACATAATTGACGCTGATACACCACCATATATACCACATGATAAACTCTCATACACCACATGATGGACTCCCATACACCACATGATGGAGTCTTGTTCACCACATGATGGACGTTCTTACACCACATGATGAACTCTCATACACCACATGATGGACTCTTGTACCCCCCACGTTATGGATTCTTGTACCCCCCACGTTATGGATTCTTGTACCACCCACGTTATGGATTCTTGTACCACCCACGTTATGGATTCTTGTACCACCCACGTTATGGATTCTTGTACCTCCCCAAGTTATGGATTCTTGTACCCCACATGATGGACTCTTGTTCATCACATGATGGACTCTTGTTCATCACATGATGGACTCTTGTTCATCACATGATGGACTCTTGTACACCACATGATGGACTCTTGTACACCACATGATGGACTCTTGTACACCACATGATGAACTCTCATACACCACATGATGAACTCTCATACACCACATTATGGACTCTTGTACACCTCATGATGAACTCTCATACACCACATTATGGATTCTTGTACCCCACATGATGGACTCTTGTACCCCCACATTAAGGATTCTTGTATCCCACATGATGGACCTTCATGCACCACATGATGGACTCTTGTACCTCACATGATGGACTCTTGTACCCCCACATTAAGGATTCTTGTATCCCACATGATGGACCTTCATGCACCACATGATGGGCTCTTGTTCACCACATGATGGACTCATAAATCATATACATCACACATGATAAACTTGTATTTATCACATGAACTATTAAATCACAACTCACATCTGATGAATAGGTAACAATGAATTCACATAAACTCTCAAATCTCATGATGAACTCTTGAATCTCATGACTGACTCAACATCACATGATGAACTCTCAACATCACATGATTGACTCAACATCACATGATTGACTCAACATCACATGATTGACTCAACATCACATGATGAAATCTCAAATCACATGATGAACTCACATCACATGATTGACTCAACATCACATGATTGACTAACATCACATGATGAACTCTCAAACATCACATGATTGACTCAACATCACATGATGAACTCTCAACATCACATGATTGACTCAACATCACATGATTGACTCAAATCACATGATTGACTCAACATCACATGATTGACTCAACATCACATGATGAACTCTCATATCACATGATTGACTCAACATCACATGATGAACTCTCGCATCACATTATGAATTTGTATGTATTTGCATATGGCATGTTTGTGTTTCATATCTATTGTTTTCATTTCATGTCACCATACTTAAATGCATATAGCATGCTATTATTTTTATCATCTTTTGATGCATTGTAATAAAGAATACAGACATATTTATTATTTTATGTGATATTATTTACTTATTGATCAATTTGTAAGTGTCTCCAGTGTGCTGTGTATCTTGATATGTTTCCAGGCTATATTTAGTTTTCTTGGTGTCGTAGAGAGTGCATCAATTTTTTTTACTGCATGTTTTTAAAGCTTATCAACATCCGAGAATGCTTTGTCAATAAACATATTGCTGGGTGCCGGAGATCCAGAATGTATCATATCCAAGCAAAACTATCACGTTGATATTTCTAATTAAGTAACATTATAATGATTCAATATAAAACAAACATACTTTTTGTTTTACATGCCCGTCTATCGGAAATCCGCTTCTAACGGAGCAAATATTCCATCTGTAGGCAATAGGAAATTATGTAATTTTGAACCATAATTCGAAAAGAAATTATCAAAAAATACAAAAAAAAAGTTGTAAAATCTTACTCCAAAGTTTTAGCAAGAAAAAATATGCCATGATGCTTCTAGTTTCTACCTGAGTGCACCCACTACTTGGTTGTCATTCAAATTAAACATTCCCATTTAATTTAAATCCTGAACTAGCAAAGTTAATTTAGTGTCTTGTATTTAATATACATGTCAACTGTCTAAATAATTGAAAACAATCATTCCAAAATGTGTATGCAGTAGCTGCATTAATGCTTTATGTAAATATGTAAAATATGCTGTAGACTTTATTATAATTATATTATAGGAGGACGCTTCAACTTTCACTAAAATAAAATTAAACGTTTCTCTTACAAGGAATAGAGGTGTTTATAAGTAAAAACATTCCGCCATAATTAGCTTGTATGGAAAAATAAATCAGAATGAAACAAATGTTGTAAAACAAACATTTGAATGAGAAAAATCATTCATTGGGTTAATAATAATAAGCACACAATTTTTAGAATCGGCAAAGCCTGCGACAATTCAAAACTATCGTGCATAGAAAGATACAGCTAATTGATCAATATTTAAATCATATCCACATGTGTCATTTGCCATGTAAATATTTTGTTGTATTTTTGTAGAATAGTTTACCATATATATGGCTAAAATGTTTGGATATTGTCAATAGGATGTTGATGTACTGTGTATAAAGTTTTCACACCATACAGTGTGACTTGCATATCAAGATAGAGATTTTACAAGTTTTAGATTGCACCAATAGCTGAGTGTTAGGTCCTCTGGTTACTCATGATGTTGATTGGTCAGGCTTGTGGTACATTTCCAGTCATCAGGAATACAATTTCCGGCAGAAATATAATATTGCAAATTTAGTTTAGTACCAAACATATTTTGTGTTTTGGGCATCCAGTTTACTTTTGAAAGTAATAAAATAATATTCACAAAATAAGACAATGACTATACCCCATCAAATAATCAGGGAACTTGAAACTTATCTATTGAAAGTGCTTTATTAGATTAAATTATGTATTTTTATATATGTAGATGTAAAAGACATTTTGATCTGTACCTCTTTCACTTGATATTTAAATTGGACTGGTTATACGCACATGTTCAAGCAATATGTCCATATCCAAGGGTTCATACATTATTATTTGTGCTAATTTGTTTTCTCATGAACATGGTCTTTGAAGGTGCAAGCCCTTAGTTTTATTCTAACCCTGACTGTCAAAATTTGTTTTCACTACTGTATTGAGGATCCTGAACTTTAATCTATTACTCACATGGTATCATTCCGATTATTATTATTATTATTATAATTTTAAATGTAATCAACCATACAGGGATTGAATTCTAAAGTATTATGTTCTTATTGAGTCTTGACTTTTCATGTTATTTTCTGTATGCATAATTCACTGTCTGGTTCTTAAGACTATAAAAACACTGCCAGTTACACATATAGTACCAAATATGTAACATGACCTCAAACTGAGATTTTGCTAATGTATTAAAGTCATTATGTTTCTCAGGTACATCAGTTGGTGCATTCTTGTATGAAATAAATCCATTGTTTACTATTTGATAATAGTTCCTGATTTTTAACTTGGGTTATTTCTGGTAATTTATTTCTGGTAAGTCCATCATAACTTAGGAAAAAAACAACTTCTATATCAGTACAGCTGAATGCAAAAATAAATACTTTATTTTCATGCCCCAAATTATATTATTACATGTCTAGTAAAATGAACAGTGACCAAAAAGTTTCCACGCAGTTTATATTCATGATGTAAATTTATAACGTACCCATAATGCATTGTGCTAGTACATTGTACCACTGCCATTTAGGGTGAATTTTACCAAGTTGACACATCACTTTTATCATTGTTGTCAGTTGTTGATACAAATCAATTTTTTTAAGTTTTTTACACAATTAAGCTTCATACATGTAGGCTGTTCGTGACTAATTGAATTCACTTTTCTTGCGATGCATTTTAAAGAAAAAAAATAGGTTAGTTTCAGTTTTATTTTCAATGATAAACAACATACGTTTACCACAATGGTTGACTTTGCTTCATTATTGTTTTCTGTTGTCATGTTTTTGTTTTGATTACCAACTCATCAGTTGCCATGCCAACACATATAAGTTTGATGTTTCAAGTATGTTCATTTCTTAATATTCCAAGATTGTGTAGTGTTTTTTGTATATATAATAATGTCAGCTTGGTTGAATTCACCTGTCCAGATTATATTATATTATTGATGTGTGCAAAAAGAAATTTAAAGACAGAATAAAAATGAAATGAAGATTTTATACTTAAATGGTGTGTTATATTATCTATGATTTGTTCTTATAATGTGGTCTATTTGATCTTAGTCTTATTTTCTCTATATAAGTGCATTGATGCAAAAACCGTAATAGGCCTTGTTCAAAAATGGCCGCCAATATCTCATTAAAAGTGAGAAAACCACACAACTTTTTGCGTTTCAAATTTTCTATTTTCTACCACCACTGATGTGATTTTGATTTCATGCAAATAAAAAAAGTGAGTCTTCTGTTTCAAAGACCCTATTGAAATATTCTCTTCCTGTCTTGCAAAAATGTCTCTCTCATCACATTAATTTTTCGAACATCTTATTTTTTTCCTCACCAAAACTTTAATGGAGCATTTTGCACATTTTTATGTACTTTTCGCAATGATTTCATTGGTTCAAAATTATTGGAAAAATTTTGAAGAATTATGCAGGTTTATTTGTCAAAGGTAAAAGTTAAATTGATATGCAATACAGGCTCATCATTTTGGTAGCACCATGCACTTCTATAATCAAGAATCTACAGTGTATTTCTTCTTCCTGTAAATCTAAGATGAGTCATCCCCAGCCTTTCACAGTCTTAAGAGACATATGACTCAACCATAGAAGAATCTGAAATCCTCCGATCTTTGTGACTCATTCTGAAGACGTTCCAGCTGCAGTTTGTTGACCTGAAATTGAAGACTCCAATCAAGACCAATTTCATTCATCGCTATGTGTCATTTGTATGTTGTCTTGTGCTCGCCTTGGACTGACCAGCTGTGTTTGTTTGTGGCATGTTTCTTGCCTCCACTTAATTTGCTCCTTCACATTTATATCTAAATAAAAAAAAAAAACTCTTCATCATTCATCAGTTACCATAACGACCCTGCTTATAGATGTGATAGTTGAGCTATACATATTTTTTTTATGTTTTTGCTTCCATTGTATTTGTCATTTTTTTTTATTTTTGTCTGTCTTATATGTGTTTCTGATCATGGGTTTTCTTTTGCAATAAAGGGACAAGCCTTTTTTTGTCTTAGGGAGGAATTAATTTATGCTATTTCAGTTTGAAATCTTTTTTTCCTAACTTTTTTGAAAATACAAACAGACTCTTAGAACATTATGTTCCATGAAGAATTTACAATAAAAAAAAATTAATCCTCCCTAAGCAAATAAATAATCTGTCTCTACAGCTATCTTTCAATCCAGACAGAGAATTTTTTCTCAGTTTTCAAACAAAAATAGTATTTAAATGCATAGATGATAGAAATGAAGCAAAGCAATCATATAGAGTTAATGGTATCAGTAATTCATTGATAATTTGGACAAGTGGCGTGTAGTATGTTTCACTTTCCAAGCTGCTTAGTCAATCATTTAGACATTCTGTAAATGTGCAGGAGCAAATTAAGGGGAGCATTAAGCTTGCCAATCACCTCATTGCCATGACAACCAATGATGTCACTACCATGGATATCTGTCTGTTTGTTAGGTAAGTTATTGCTCCTCTGAGTTTGCTCCTGTTCTCTTCTTTACAATGTTGACTTTCTCATTCGTGGGTTTTCTGAACTTTTAATTGTCACTTACATGGTTAATTGTATGATACTTTCTTTTCGTTTTCTTTCTATACCAATACAGTTATTTTGTTAAAACATGCAAAATAAGTAGGAGTGATAATATTTGAAAAAAAACAAAAAAACATGCAGACTTTGACTTTTATTAAATATCATCTTGGCTGATAATTCAGTTTTAATTAACTATTTATGTTTTGTAAATGGTTCAATTTTGACCCAAAACATGTTTGTAATATGATGGTGTTCACAAGAAATTTTATAAAGGCAATATAGCTTCATATTCAAAGCAATTTTGTAAAATCCCTGACTAGAAAAGATTGATTCCACATAATTGACATGCTTCATGACTGTATTTAAAGAAAAAAAGTATTCATGTGTCACAAATGACTGGTAAACTTCTTCTAAAGTTGAGTTATTTCTGCAAGTAAAAAAAAAATTTGGTTGAAATATATTGAAAAAAGTTTCATAGATATTGTACTTGTGCAGTTATTTCAAAGTTTAAATGCCAAGATTCAAATATGAGTCTTGTATATAAATATTGGCATATGTATGGTACCGGGTATGTATTTTTTTATAAATCATGACAAATTTGATATTAATAGTAAAATAATGGGAAATAATTATGCTAATATGATTTAGCATAATATCTCTGATTGTTTTCAATAATCTATTTTTCATTTTAAAATGAGACTAGCAATAAAATTTATAAAGATAAACTGAAACAGACAAGTTGTCATGTACGTAGACAAATTATTTTAATTCTGCATAAAGACTTCACATTCAGACATGCGAGTAGGCAAATCTTATTTTTCAACATCAATCTTCAAATATAATCACCCTCTCCAGAAAACGCCAATAACTAAACATGGATGATTAAAATATCTCTAAGCTGATCGAATTAATTCCTATCCTGCTGACGATAGGGTTTCTGCAAGCGATAGTAATAAGACGAGCGTCAAAAACTCATAAGATATACTTGCCATGTTCGTATTGATGCTGTCTTCTTAATGCTGTGATTGGGAATTCTGTGTTGTGTTTTATACTCTAACAATATGACAAACTCTGAGTCATGCGTCATTCATTACTCACTTCGTAATAGTACTTGTATTGACCTTGTGCATAATATTGTTATATATTTTATTTTTTTCACTGCCTGGAAATTGACACCGTTTGGTGATTAGAAGTATAGATTTCATATGAACTAAATTTGACAATAATCACTGATTACTCAGTCTAAAGGATTGGAGTGAAATTTTCACTGCTAAATGTCAAAATTTTTTCTCAAACTCACGATCAAATGAAATTGAAATTAGCCATTTACTAATATTACTGTGAAAATAAAAAAAATCCCTAATTCTTCATATTTTCAAGGTATTTGTTTAAAAATTCTAAAATAATGTTTTGTATATGCATAATTTGATAAGCAGCATTTCAACTCTTGTTACTGTAGTAACATATTTAAAAACAAATCTCAAATTGCATTAACATGTAGTTGATAAATATTCAGTATTTTCCTGCCGTTCATCGCAAGATTTCAATATCTTTGAAACCTTTCACAGAAATCACAGTCATAGTATTTTATTTTTGGAATGATATAATTCTACTGCTTCCATTGCAAGGTGTTATTGTCACTGGATTGAACCATTATTTCTGATAGGGCTGGCTCAGCTAGAAGCGAGAGAGAATGCGACAAATAATGTTTATCATTGAGAGAACAAAAAATTATATGAAGCTAGAATGAATATTGTATAAAGTGTCAACAACCTACAAATTAGAATTCTCCGAAACTTTATATGTAATCGAGTATTGAAAGATTTGCTTTTTATTAAGGTTTTAAGTAATTTCATGAATATTATGGGATTCCTATTAGGTAGCTCCCTTAGTGTAATGTGATCTGCTCACTCAGCTTGCTTCTGTCAATCCCCTGCTGTACTGACGCCAATCTCTCAGATTGATGTTGTCTCAAGTACCTGATGACGTCAAATGAGAAAATAAATATGAAGGATTATCATGCTTTATTATTGAAAAACATCTAATATTGTCTTTTAATCTAATATAAAAAAGCGGCATTAATTAAAAAATTATTCTTAATTTATTGATAATTATATTAAAAATAGGACTACCTCAATTGTGACTCAGTGTGTCCTTTCTTACACTTCATCTCACTATGACTCACACTGAATAATATATTTTTATACTTATCTATATAGGTGATCCCCAATGGACAGAGAAAGAATATAAAACTGCCGAATGGGCTTTCAGAAAATGGAGGTACCATCAATTCACATCCTTAAGGGTAAGTCAGACATATAGAGGGGTCAATGCACTTTAACCTATCGTCAAACCATCTGAGGTGATTAAAGACTTTTATATTTTTTCGAATAAATGTTAAATGTAGAGATCTCTGTAATGAGGTCAACTTATGATCTCTCACCTTGAAGTTTATTCATTATTTATCTCGATGCAAATCTCAGAATGTGATGGTAAACTTTTAAAATAAATTTCCATCCAAGCATCCTGTAGTAAAGTGTGTAATATTACAGACACACTTCTCTATCTCTCCCTCTCTTGGGAATGTTCTGACTGAATTGAATATTAAATGTCATTTTTTTCACACTTTTAATAATACGTGCAGTAGAATAGATAGATTAGGAATTACAGAGATGTTGCAAAAACAAACTTTATTCACCGCATCGAGAGAAGCCGAGTACACATTTATATACTAAACATTTTTCTGAGCTGAGGTACAATGCATTGTGGGAGAAATTACAGTTTTGAATCTGCTAAGCATATCACTGAGCAGATAGGTGTGTGATGCATTGTGGAAGAAATTTAAATTTGAAATCTGAGAATTATTGCATTGACATCAAGCACAATTTTGAGTTACAAAAGCATTACAAAAAAGTTTGACATCTTTCGAAAAAGTGTCCGATGACTCTGTTTAAAATTACTTGTATTGGTTTTTCTTGATTGATTTTCACTTATGCAACGTATCATTATCTTTGTTTTCAATCATCATTAATTGATTTTAACCGTGATTCAATATATTGCTATTAAAATTATTTAATGAAATTATGAGAACTACATGCAGTTAATCTGGTGACTTGTATAGCGCCCTCTATAGTAAGATATATAAAACTGCTGGAGTGGCCTTTGCTAATGAGGGCGCCCTTCACAACTACCTCAAGATAATTGTGAATTTTGTAAATCCGTTAGCAATGCTGTCGAATAGTACAGAAAAACAAATTTCATTATCTTCTGCATTTAATTCTTTATTTACTTACAATACAGGATGATCTGTGGGGGAATGCTATATTCTTGAAAGAGGCTAACGCTATCAGTGTGGAACTGAAAAAGAAGGTAATTTCTTTAATTCAAAATTCTGAATTACCTAGTCATGTTACTTAATACTATAGATTTGAAACATTAGGATATGCAACTTTTGATTATTTTTCTTGCATTTGTCTCAGTCAATCATAATTTACTATCACATGACCTGGTAGTGACCAACAACTGTTGTCTATGTTATGTGATCTTGCACACTGACCAATCATAATTTTATTGTCTTAACCAAACACAAATGACATACAATTTAACATAATTGGTTTCAGGTTGAGTTTCAGTTCGTATTGCTATCACACACACTTTACTCTCCGCTAACACCTGAATTGTTACCAAACCATGAAACCCTGGATATGACAGATGGGGAATTCCCTCGTACGGTAGTGGCTGTACAAGTACAAGATAAAAAGAATGGAGCAACCCATTACTGGGCATTGGACAAATTTATGTATGTATATATTTTAATATATATTCAAATGAGTCGCTCAAGGTTGATTAATACAGTTTCACAAAAATATTGAGAACTTTTCATACCTTAGGAGATTATTCTATTGTATTATGAAAGAGTTCAGCAATAGTGAAACGGGGGCCATGACCTCATTTTTGAGAAGATCACATTTTTGTATTACATAGTTAATACACAGCCTCTATGAGGAAAAAGTAACCAGTCAGCAACTTAGCTGGTAATGTGAATAGTTTTTTTTTTTAAATCCATACTGTAAAATCTGTATTAGAAACTGTGGCTTCTATTAAAATGGTACAATGCAACAGAGGGGATACGGCTTCTATTAAAGCCTCTACACATATGAGAAATGATGATATTAGGGATGCGGCTTCTATTAGGGATGCGACTTCTATAAGGTATGCGGCTTCTATTAGGGATGCGACTTCTATAAGGTATGCGGCTTCTATTAGGGATGCGACTTCTATAAGGTATGCGGCTTCTATTAGGGATGCGGCTTCTATTAGGGATGCGGCTTCTATTAGGGATGCGGCTTCTAATAGGGATGCGGCTTCTATTAGGGATGCGGCTTCTATTAGGGATGCGGCCTCTAATAGGGATGCGGCTTCTATTAGGGATGCGGCTTCTATTAGGGATGCGGCTTCTAATAGGGATGCGGCTTCTATTAGGGATGCGGCTTCTATTAGGGATGCGGCTTCTATTAGGGATGCGGCTTCTATTAGGGATGCGGCTTCTAATACAGATTTTACGGTAAAAAGGCTTGACCTTTGATGAGGTCTATAGGAACCCTGAAACTGCAATTGAAATAAAAATGGCATGAACATTGTTGTTGTAACTGACTACTTCTTAAAAATGTCTACGCATTTTGTTAAACAAGTAATTTGTTAATTCTTATGCATATTATTGTCGTAACTTTTTTTTACAGACAACGTTTAGAATTAATGCGTGAAATGTATGATAACTGTGTTGATATGACACCTACAACTCCAGAAAGTAATATCACATTTGAAAATGCTATCAGTGGTGGTGATCCATTTTATGATAGATTTCCGTGGTTTAGATTGGTTGGAAGGTGAGTATGATAACAGCCCAATCATCATTTGCAGATATTGCTGAATTAAAAGTGCTTATGTAAATAATAGAGGTGGGTTAATGGTCGAATTTACTTTTTTACCACCAGTTCCTTCTTTTCACCACAAACAAAATAGTCCTGTTTATAGTCTGCACTTTCCTTCAGAATATTGGGACAAAAACAGCCAAATATTTTGAGTAAAAAGTAAAAACTTAAAATTGACTCAAATTTTGTCTGTTGGCTCCAAAATTAGGGTTCATTTCCAGAAATATTGAAGAATTTAAGGAAAAAAAATACCAACAAATTTGAATGACAAGTCTGGTTGTGAAACCATAGTGGTTGTCGCTTCAGACTCGTGACTGGTAGACCCAAGTTAAAATCCTACCTTAGGCTGAACATCAAAAGGGTTCACTTTGATGCATACATTTTTATTATTAAAAGTTTACCTATTAAAATTAAATTTGTTATGTAAAATGCATTTGCTGAGACAACAAAACCATGTGATATGTATGACAACATATTTAAACTTGTCAAACTCACTGAAATTCATTTCTTATACAGTCAGTCATTTGCATTATTTCTTTGTGTATTATTTCTTCTTCAGATCATTTGTATACCTGAGTAATCTTCTGTTTCCTGTACCGTTAGTACACCGTGTGGCTATCGTAAGTGAACAGGGAGATGTCAAAGGATGGCTGCGTGTTGCTGTGCAATACGTCACTAAAGACGACGAAGCACCCGATTATGGATCCGGTGTCCGTCAATCTGGCACCGCCAGGTTAAACTTCGACGACGATGATTACTTTCACAAAAAGGTTTGTACTAATTGTTCATTATTTTCCTGCAGTGGAGCCCTCTGGACAAACTGACGCAATAGTACAGATTATTCATAAGACATAGGATGTATATTCTGTCAATTTTCTCTGCTAGCAGTTTCAAACTTTAATGAGTCAATATCTCCATCTCTTATAAACTTAAAAATGTTTTGTATGTACTGTATGCCACTTGAACATATCCCCCAAATGATAGCTCTGTAACAAAATTTATCTTCATTAATCAAGTTGGAATATAAATGTTACACAACTAACCTTTAAAAAAACCATATCTGCATTCATTCTAGAAAAATGTTCCAATGTTTGAACTTCCCTTTATATGGCAGAAACTACACCGTCAACATCAGTTTATTGATGTCGCATTGAGCTATGTTTTTTTTTTTCATTTTTGTCCGTTGTCTTATTAAAAGAAATAAATACAAGCAAAGAATAATTGTTTATTAATAAGGATAGCATCAGACTACCATAAAGTATGTATGAAGGCAGTATAGTGAACACTGTATTTTGGGGGGCGGGGCTACGCCACAAAACTTTCTATGTTGCTATAAGTTGTGCACCATTGTACCATGTAGTTCTATGGGCTATGTGCAAGCTACTGTGGAACGCCGGTCGAAGAGCTGGTGAAAACGGCACAGACTCAACATTGAAGTAATCCTGAGCAACCAAATTTATATATGTTACACACGTTGGGGTAATCCTGTGACCCTGTTCAGGGGAGTCTCAATAACTATCTCAATGTACCGTTTTCTGAGAATTTTCGGCCTTTGTTTTCACTGTGATGATTGCCAGGCGGTGAAAATACCCGGATGTTAGCCCCTGAGGATTTACAGAGGTGTAATTGTGTCCATAATATTATCAGTGCCATGTTTACACATATTCTTATTTTACAGACCAAAAAGAGTCAGTCCTATATGAGCCATTCTGCTATATCAGAGGACGAAATCAGGATAGTGGAGGGACAACGAGAGAACTCAGACATAGGTAATACTCCCCCAGGTGAGAGAGTTAGAGGGGATTGACCCATCATCCCTGGCACCTAAATGGAATGTGCCATCACCAAACTGCCTTTATAGTGGAGTAGTAAAGACACCTGCACGGCATATTAAAAAAAGTTTATTTATTTACAAAATAGTTTTAAAGTCACTGTTTCATTTCATTCTTATCCCAGTGTTTGTCACATATTGTTTGCATGATTTAATAATTGCATGCAGGTTTTTCTAATCAGCGTTTTTGTGTGCATGTCAAAAGTTGATAAATCGTAAAAGTTGAAAGAATTTGTATTTGTTTATGGGTAGCAGGTAAACATTTGTGCCCATCTGGTCACTATAGATAAATAATTTCTCTGGTGCTGATGTAATTAAAACTGCATTCAAAATATAATGGGAATAGTAGTTTGGTCTGATTTATAATAAGAAAATAAAATGCAACATTAGATTTTTATTACACAAACACATTACAATTATTGAAAACAAATAATGCTAAGCATCTACAGTAAGTGAACAACCAATTGTTTTCAGATAATTGTTTTTTGAGTCAAACTGATTTGATTTGTTGGCATTTTGTATGGTCTTCAAAACTAATATACAAACATGTCATTAAAATTTTTGTATCAGATGTAAGTCATCTTTATTTCAAGATGTCACCTCAAATATCATAATGAATTATCAGATTTTAGTGATTCATTATTCAAATAATTGAATTCAAAAGTGAAAATATGGTAAATTAAAAATATTAGTAGTGAGTTTTGAGAAACCTACCACCAGAGGGTGCAGCTCACAACACAATGATTATTATTATGATTATTATTTGGTTTCACATGTGTATTCTAGTCAAACATATATTCAAAAAATATAAAATACTTTGTTCTTCTGGGAATATTCATTACAGCTGAAACCCTATTAACAAAAACTTATAGTATGTTAGTAGTATTGTATTCTGAATCCTTGGCCAATATACACACACTGTAATTAAATTGTACAGAACTCACAAGTGAATCATTATGAAATAAATCTCATTACAACTTAATCTCGGGCTACACAAGTATACTTTACTTTTGATGACATTGTCTTGCCTGCTGTGTTTTTATCTCTTAACCAACCTTTCTTTTTGTAATTTTGTAGAATTTTTTTTAGAATAATAGTGTTGTCCTCATGTTCCTTTCCTTTCCTAATGCTTTCCTTTCATAGAAGACACTTCTAGTGGGCAGAAAACACCAACAAACTGTGAAAGTAGGTAACCAATAATCTCCCAGATCACGTTATTCAAATGTTTTAATTATTCAAATTAATGCACATAAATTAACATATTTAATCATTGAAATATTTAAATTTATGCACATAAATTAACATGTTTAGTCTGATTTTAGTAAATAAATCATGGGTAAATCTCTACTAGTTATCGGGTAATCACATTTTACTCTCAATTTGCACTACATTATCAGTATTTTATTTCTTATCAATTTCATGGAAATTGTTATTGCTTTTTTTAACTCTACATAAATAACATATAAATATTTGAGTATTAAAAAAAACTTGTGACACATGGTTCCTATTGAAATTATCATCAATTCAAAAATAGCCATCAGAATATTTTTTCTAGAAAGCTTAGTTTTCCCTTGGATGATTTTGATGAAGTTCTTATTTTTCTCATGTTGACTAAAATTCATGCAATGTTTAATTCACCCACTTCTGCCCACCTAGGTTCCTTGGAGCAATGTATGAATGAGCATATTACATTCATTTTACTGGTCGACAATATTTTCAAGATATGTGTGTCTTGAAAACAGTGGAATTTTCACAATTTCGCACTCCTCGAAAATTGTTTCAATTTTCACTGCCTTTAAGTGGTATACATACAATACTGTGCAGTCTGGATACTGGATTATCATTTCAGTCTACCCTCAACAAAGAAATTCAAGTATTCTTGATCAGTACTCCCATATTATATCTACAATATATGAATATAATTTGGAATCAGTGAACTAGCTAAATTGAAACTTTGGTATGTAAAAAAAATGCAATAAACCAATTTTAATAAAAAAAAAGAATTTTGTTTCACCTATACAAAATACTGTTAACTGCTTTAATTTGGCCAATTGAAAATCACAAAATTGTTTAGCAGTGAGAATTTCTCTGTTTTTTTCTGTGTTTTTTCAGCGACAATTTTGTCTTCATAAATACCATAAATTCTTAAATCAGGAAGCCCCAAAAATTAAAAGATTTACAGTAATCTAGATATTTAAATAAATACATTAATTATATAAAAATATGTTAATTAATAATCTAGGTATATAATATATTAATTACAGTAACCCAGCACATGTCATTGTTACTTACAGAACTTGAAGTAGAAAAGGGAGAAGAGGAAGAAACCATGAGTCTGAAAGAAGAGAACACTGTCCCTGTTGTTGAAGGAATTGAATGTGATCATCTCAAGATTGGCTCTACGTGCACTTTCAGAGTTACTGTCTTACAGGCATCAGGAATATCAACCGAATATGCCGATATATTTTGTCAATTTAAGTGAGTAAACTCTCCTGAACTTGTAGTACTTGTATGCTGATGAGAAGTAATATTCAAAATATATATTTTGTCAGGAACGGGGTAATATTAAAGTTTTGCGATCTATCCCACTTGCAGTCTAATTCATGTCCCTGTGCAACCATTTCTGAAAATTTACACTAGTCTAACTGGACTATTGGAATTT